GTGTTTGCTTTCCAACAAGGGGTCATTGGGGGGGAGGGTTTCGTGCTATCCTGGCATTTCAGAGCCTCCGGAACTGTGATTGGCATTGCGGAAGTGAAATGAGAAAGTTATGCACCGTCAGGCTTTCAAAGTGGTCATTGGATTTCAGGCTCCTGTATATGGCTAGGCTCCCAAAAAGTCTCACACATGTGGTATCCCCATACTCTGAAGAAGTAGCAGATTTGAGTTTAATTTCACATATACCCATGGCTTGTGTGAGAAATCTATAATTTGACAACTTTTGTGTAAAAAAAAAAAAAAAGTGTAATTTTCCAAAAACTTGTGGGAAAAAAAAAAAATCTTCCATGGACTCAATATGCCTCAGCAGATAGCTTAGGGTGTCTACTTTCCGAAAAGGGGTCATTTGGGGGTATTTGTACTGTTTTTGTATTTTAGCACCTCAAGAAATGTGATGGGCTGTGTAAATTCCATTATCTATACTATAGTTTGTAGACTCTATAACTTTCACACAAAGCAATCAGTATACCACTTATTGGGATTTTTTTAACCAACAACATGTAGCAGAATACATTTTGGCCTAAATTTGACAAAATTAGTTTTTTGGATATTTTGACAGAAATTAGAAAATATAGTTTTCCAAATTTTTTTTTTTTTTCAAAACTTTTGTTTATAGCACCAAAAATTAAAAGCGCATAGGTGATCAAATACCACCAGAATAAAGCTCTATTTGTGTGAAAAAAAGTACATAAATTAAATTTATGTATCATATTGCAAGATCGCGCAATTGTCCGTTAAACTAGTGCATCGCTGTATAGCAAAAAAAGGCGTATATTGCAGTATCTATACCGTGGTTTGTAGACACTATAACTTTCACAGAAAGCAATCAATATACACTTTATTGGGATTTTTTTTTTTTTACCAAAAACGTAGCAGAATACATTTTGGCCTAAATGTATGACTAACTTTGAGTTTACTATATATTTTTTTTGTAGCCGAAAGTAAAAAAATTTTAAATATTTTTGGCCTTTTTGTGTTTATAGCGCGAAAAATAAAAAGCGCACAGGTGATCAATAACCACAGAAAGAAAGTTCTATTTCTGTGAAAAAAAGGACATAAAATTTGGTTTGGGTACAGCATTGCATGACCGTGCAATTCTCAGTTGAAATAGTGCAGCGCCGAATAGCAAAGAGGCCTGGTCATAAGGGGGGGGGTAAATCCTCAGGAGGGCAAGTGGTTAAGTAAGGCACAGTTAGAGAAGATTGTATGGATGCCACATAAGTTTCGCACATTGGATGTTAAAACTTTCCATGTCAGTGAACTAATGTTGAGTATATGGGATAGAATGTACTGTATAGTCAAAAAGGATGGAAATAAAATTCAATATTGACTCCCTTGGTGGGAACAAAGTATTCCACCGACCCCCCGGGAAAGATAACATTTTTGGGAAATGGATAAAGGATAAGAATGCACATTTGAAGGATATATTGAATGAAGGGAAATTGCACACTTTTCAAAATTTAACAAAGAAAAAAAGATTTATTTATCACATTTGATGAGTGATGCGTACTATCAACTAAACCATTTTGTTTCAAGTCTCCCACAACCACTGAGGATGTCGGAGGACATATATGCATTTGAAAAATTGTTAAATGAAAAAATAACCCCAAAACGTATCACTTCTTATAAGATTCTTATGGCTATGGGAGGAACTGATCCTCCGGGGTTCTTGGAAAAATGGGAAAAGGAGCTTGGAACAGAATTGTATGCACAGCATTGGAATAAAGTTTTCAAATTAACACACGAGGTGACAAATATGAGCACAGTAGAGATGAACTATAAATGTTTAACTAGATGGTATATTACACCAAACGTAGCTCACAGGCAACAAATAGATACTTCACCTCTGTGCTGGAGAGGATGTGGAGAAAGGGGTACAGTGTCACATATATGGTGGGGTTGCCTGAATATACAGGATTACTGGAGGGAAATAATCCAATACATTCAGGAAATATGTGGGATACCTGTACAGAGAGATCCGTGGAGGTGTTTATTTTATAACTTTGAGCCCTCAGTAAAATTATATAAAAATAGGATACTTTATCACTTAATTAGTGCTGCTAAGGGTTTGATTCCCAAGTTCTGGCAGGTTCCGGAAGCACCAAGAATTAACAAATGGATAAATAGTTGAAAATATCTATAGGATGGAGGAGCTATGTCACATGGAGGAGGATAAAATGGAAAAATCCAGGAAAATGTTGTGTAGTTTGAAATTTAAAACCTCTGAAAGATATGGAACTGGTTGGAATTGAGGGGGAAGCTTAGACGTCAGGAGAGAGCCTTAACGGAGAATCTGAGAGGAGTAGCATCAGAGATAGTTAGATAAATGAGAGAAGATATACTTTAGGAAAGAGGAGGTGGATGGAGAAAATGGGTTGGGGTAAATGGAAATATGTATATGTGAAATATTTTTTGCAAATGTGTTGTTTTTTTCTGTACTGGAAAATCAAATAAAAGTTTAAATATTTTTTTTAAAAAAAAAAGGAAAAAAAAAACCTCACAAATAATCTGATGGGAAGATGGTTTAATTGAATAGTCTGGTATCAGGATCTCTAACTTCAGGCACCCGTTAATTCAATGGAAGAAGTGTGATCACCTATAGAAAATGTGGTCTTTATTTATTTAAGATCTTTGTAGCAGAAATGGCTTTACAAAAAATGTGTATCCTTATTCTTGACAAATTACATCTGGATAGGAAGAACTCTAACACAATCATTGATGATCAAATCATCTATATTATTTGATTTCCCAAAATGCATTGGGAGATTATTATTATTCGTTAAATTTTTGCTTCATTTTGATAAATGACTCATTAATATTATATAACAGAACATATCTCGTTCCTGTAATAGATATAATCACATTGATCATGAACATAATTCCAGGTTATTTATATGTTTACAAATCTCTTCAGTGCCCATACACTGGCTATGGGCCAGATGGTTACATAAGCTTTTAACAATCCAAAATGTCCATTGGATTTCCCACACAGGTGATCTCCAACTTGAACAGAAATTCACACACTGGAAAATATCAAGCCCCCCTGGCTTATAAGCTTTTTCAGCTGCACTTGCAGTACCTCTCCTGGATACTTGGCTCTCTAGCCTTTAGACACAACGCCTTGCTGTAAGGCCTATCTATGGATGGAGGTTCTCATCACACTCTGATAGCAGCCGAGCTGACGCCTGGAACTGAGACCTCTGTCTCTTGACTCTCCGCTGGGTCCCCTGACCCTTCAACGAGACCTTCTGTCTTCCGCACTGGGAGCCCTGAGCTATTCTCAGACCCGAATACATAATGACACCTCACGGTTGTGTACTCAGATTGTAGGTCTCTAGCAAAACTCGGATACAGGACTGAATGTTCTGATCCTGAGCTGCAGAAACCAGAGAGCCCCCCACATACACCTATGCCATTTATTGTGCTTGCCTCTTACAACATCCAGTGTAAACTGCCTCATCACACAGTGGCATGGCCTCACCCTGCCACAGTATATTTTACAGCAAATGGTCCTATGCTTAGACTCTCTTTATAGGGAAATCTCCCTCTAGAATGTCTATCATTGCTTTATTAAAGCTGTAAGTTTTTAATGTGGTATTAAACCAAAAAACAAAAATGTTGCAGCCTTCCAATCATTAGATATAGTAGCTGCATTATAGGCTTTCCCCCTCTGGTTTCACCTGGTGCTCTAGCCAGTAACACACCTCCTGTATTAGAGTGCCTCCACTCTAGATGAAGGAGCACAGGGGCAACTTTGGAAGGAGCATTGTCAGTCTGGGGGGCAGAGGAGTTTTAGATGTACTAGCAGACTTAAATACACTAACCAATTGAAGCCAAGCTCCAGCTTATGTTTTTTGAGCAGTTACAGCAAAAAAAAAGGTTCTTCTTTGGGATAAAGGTTTACATTAATAAAAGCTGATCACTGTAAGCTCTTTGTGTATTTATTTCAGATCTGTGCAGTAAGCCAGCATAAAGTGGCTTTTGCAGGAGTGTTTTTTTTATATAAAGACCAGTCGCTGCTGCTATTGCTCCTTTTGCAGAGTGATTGGTCTTGTATCTGCCCCTCCTGTAGTTTTCTGCAGGCAACCTATAGTGGGTGGCCCTGCTGAGTTCCACCCAAACCTCTGCTTTCTGCAAAGGTTATGTGTAACACAGTGAGAGTTTGAAAAGGCACACAAAGTAGATTTAGCCTTTGTGACTTTCAAGAGATGTGTCTGAAAGGTCCAGTGGCTGGATTTCAGCTTTAACAAGATTCTTCACTGACATTTGTTTTAAACATTCCAGGGAAGCACTTCTGTGTTATGCTGCCCACACATGGGTCAGTTTTTTTGTTCAGCCAGCCGGCTGAATGAAAAAAAGAACTGACCTGATTTCTCCTATCCACACATTTGAGGTGGATGGGGAATCCCCGCTGTGTATCCATACCTCCCCCCTGTCATAATACACTGATCAGTGCTGTAGCCTATTGGCTGCAGTGCTGTTCGAACTGAAATTTTGCAGCAATCCTGTTCACGATAAATTGATAGGTCAACTTCTCATAAATCAGAACAGCTATACATGAACGAGATATGGCTATACATGAATGAAATGTGGCCAGTTTCTGCTGATTCATGTATGGCCAGCGTTAGTAATGCATCTGTTTTTTTCTCTTATTCAGTGCCATAGAGGACCAATGGCTTTTGTGCAACTTATTATTAACACTTTTCTAATCAACAGATATGATGAAAGTGACCCTAAATTGATAGAAACCAGAACCTACAGAAGAAACCCTCTTCTTTTGCGGGTCTTCTTTATAACAATTTCTGTAACATTAAAAGTATGAGATGACCAACATGACTGGTAACAAACTAAATGTTTATTATTGTACCTAGGTCAATGTAATTCTTTGTAAAAGGTGAAGTGGCTTAATCATTGTGCTTTAATCTTAGTGCCATTTACAATTGTTAAGTAACTTGGACTATCTGCTTTCCAATGTTTCCTCCTCTCATCATTGACAGGAAAGCATCTAAAAAAAAAAATGTACATGGTTAAAAATGGAGATTCTGGTAATAAGTTATGTTGACTTGAGTTTTGCAAAAATATCTTTTTGTAACTATCATTAAGTCAAAAGTTTACCCCTTGGCAATATACTTAAGACAAACTAAGGGCCTCATTTAAAGAGGGGAGCATTTTACCACCAGCTGCGCTCTGTAAATGACTCAATAAAACTGCCTCTATAGTTTATCACATGACCAGGCGCTCCTCCGTGATTTTCCTTTATTTCACATTCTCTCTTGATTTTAGGAAGTGATCCACTAGCTTGGGAGCACTAAGCACACATATAAAAGCACCTTGCTTAATAAAACAGAATTCACTCTCTCAACTGTTCAAGAAAGTGGCAACCACCCCAACTTATAACTGGCCATTGTGATGTGCATTGCCCTTCCATGTGCACCTTGCTTCAAATAAAGAATTTCCCAACAATCCTGCAAAAAAAAAAAAAACAAGTGGCTCTAACAGTTTGCAATTGTGTGCAAACAACACCCTCTGTTTTTAATGCAAATATATGCGTAAGCCGCAGTGCCCACGTCAAGGGACCTCTGTATATACTGTGGTCCTAACTATAAATTTCCAGAGCCTCCATAGTGAGAGCACATATAAGAATAGATAGATTAGGGCAGATGTGCCCGGAGGGAGCCCACCCCTCCTTAAAAGGCAGAGGGATGCACGTGACACTCTCTGAATAAACATTGACATTTAATATAGATAGGAAAATATCTAATATTTACTTGTTTTATTTTTTTTTTTTTTTACCATTTTCTTCAGTTACTTCCTGGTTTTCAGCCCAAGGCACATGATGTCATACATCCCAGGAGCCGACACAACCTCCTCCCTGAGCTAAGGACCGATGGATTCCAGGAACTAAATGCTGAACAAATCCTCTGCCCTTACTCAAGATGGCCATGGTCAGAAATGCTAGGGGGTGTTTTACAGTGATTTCTCAGCAAAAAAAAAAAAAAACAAAAAACCTGGAGGCAGGGATAGATGGTTGAACTTGCTTTGAGTATTAAAAAATGAATTGAATAGTGTTTGTGGTGCATAGTTGCAGTGTAGTTCCACTTTAAGGAGACTCACTTTGCCAGTCAAATGACAGTTTCCTGACAACTCCATGTCAGCACAGCTGGGTAAGGGCCCCCCCCCCCCACTCACCCTGTGAAAGGGTTATATGTTCTGGGGATTATTATTATTTATTTCAGGTACTTATATAGCGCCATCAATTTTCGCTTAGAAGTCTCATAGCCATGCCAGGCAAGACAGCCTCTTCAGACTCTATGAAAAGGAAGAGACGAACGATCAGGACTATGTATCCTGCTGGATTAAGCAGCCAGGGATAGAGATGATGACATCTAACAGGAGGATGTCCCATTCAATAAACACATTGTCAATACACTAAAGAAAGGGTTTCCACTTACCTTTTGGAGGGTTATCTGCTTTGGCAATGAGAAGCTGCCTACTCTTCTCAGCCGAAGCATCCCTCTTCAGAATTTCCAAAGAAGACGATGTGGAGGGACATAACTGCATGAATACTGCTTTGTTTGAGCAATCAAGGATAAAGATGACACCTAACAGGTTGTCACATGAGACTAATACACTCTAAAGGAATGTTTTCACTCACAATGTGAAGGGGTGATCTGTTCTATCAATGAGCAGTCTCTTAGCCTTCCAGGTAAACAATCCTCATCAGAATCTTCCAAAAGCAGATTCAGGTGAGCATGACTGTGTGAGCCATGCTGGTTCAAACAACCAGGGATAAAGAAGTTGACACCTAACAATTTATCACATATATTGACCATGTGGTCAATACATTCTAAAGGAGCTGCTTCCACTCACCTTGTGAAGGGGTCATATATTCTGCCAATCAGCAGTCTCAGAACCTTCTCAGTCAAATCAACCTTTGCCAGGTTTGTCCAAAGAACATGTGGACAAACATGACTGTATGATTCCTGCTTTAAGTAGACAGTGATTAAGATGATGGTGACCAAGTTGTCACAATTAATTAAGCATGTGGTCAAGCCACTCTAAAGGAATTGCTGAATTTGCCTTCTGCAAAGGCCATCTATTCTGGTAATGTCCAGTTTTCCTTTTAGGTCCATTATAACTGGTCTCAGAGCCTTCTCAAACCAATCAATCCTCATCAGTCCCTTCTGAACAAGAAGATGAAGATGACCTTTCTCCAGGTTGTTGATTCCTCCTTTTGTAAGTTTGATGAAATTCCTTTAAATAGAAGCAAAGCTGTGGAAGTATTTCAAGTGCCTCCAGAGGACAGCTTTACAATTCTCTTATGGTGACTGAATCAAGTACCTATTCTAAAAGATTGGAGCATGTTGTCACAGCAGAATGACAAGGGTTTTAAATCACCCATTTGGTCGGTGTGTCCCTTATGGTATTGGCCAGATGCATGACTTTACCATTAGAAGATGCTGTGGCCTTCAAGGATGTACTCAACTGCATTGTTCTTGATCTTGGAAGGTGAAGTCTGCATTAATAGTGGTCAGTTTGACTTCCTGCCTCAAGGTAAACATCTGTTGAGTTAAAGGAGACTGGATTTCAAGAGTCAGTTTCCACGTTCACTCCAGAGAGGGTAGCGTCTGCATTTCTGGCTGGGAGTCAAAGAAAAAGCCAGTACATAACCCAAGATGTCAGCGAAGAGCTTCATGTCAGGATGCTTTCTGGCATTTTGGGAATTGTGCCAATCATACACGTCTTATGGGCACTTGATGGTCTGTCCTTGGACATAGGTAACAGCTTGGTGACTGACACGGTCACTCAAGGCAGGCCTTTCAGGTCACATTTGGGAGAGCTTTCATCCTTCACATCTCAGATCCAGCAGGTCAGGTAGACTCAGTTGAACTCTCACCCCCTACCAAGTTGGGTTTCTGGACTGGTAGCAGTCAGAGGGCTGATGCCAGAAGATATGAATTACCCCATGTATGAAAGCAAGCCAAAACTTGTAGTTGGAAAAGCAGAATCTCCTGCGATGTCATTCCCCTCTGACAACCTAGTGGTTGGTGGTGTAGTAAGACACCAGCAAAGTAGGAGTTGAGAACTGAATTTCAGGCTCTCCTAGCCTTCAGTGACCTCATCCAAGGTGAGCCTGCCATGGTGAAGTTAGACAGCACAACGACTGTGGCTTACATCAGGAAACAAGGGGGCACTTAGTGTCTCCATCCTAAAGGAGTTTTCTCCGATTCTAGAGTTGGCCCAAGTCAATATCCTGCAGCTATCTGCTGCCTGTATGCCCGGTCTGGGGAATCTTTAGGCAAACAATTTTGTCCAGGACAATCCTGGACGACAATGAATAGCCTAGACTGCCGCAAGTCTAACGAGCTTGGTAATCACTTCCAGAGGTAGACCTGTTCACATCCTCCGTCAACAATGTTGCTTTCTAGTCCAGGGTCCAGCATGGGGATGGAGGTGCTGATCGCAGAGTGGCTCTCCAGGACAGCTTATGCCTTTCCACCTCTCCTTCGTATTCTCAGCTTCCTGTTGAGGCTGTGGCAGGGTGTCAGGAAATGCCTTCCAGTAGTACATGTGAAGCTCCGCGGCGCACGAATATGCGCACGCGCCGGGTTGTGGCAAGCCGAGCAGATGTGCGGGTGCGCGCCTGTCACTTATGCTGGCGCCAATCGGCCTATTTAAACTGGCTGCTGTGGATGTCTCATTGCCGTATGGTTTTTTCCCCTGCTTGTGTTCCTAACTTCTGTGATTGTTCCCTGTTACCGAAACCAGCCTGTTCCTTACTTCCGATTGATAGTCTCCTGCCCTGACTTCTGGCCTGTCCTTGGATAACTCTTCTGCCTGCCCCTGATTGATTGACCTCCTGTTGCTGAACCTGGCCCGTGATCTGGCTATTCTCCTGCCTGCTGTTCATGCCTGATCTGTCTCGTCTAATACCGAACCTGGCCTGTCTGACTCTGCTTCTCGCTACATGGTGCACTCACATCCATCCATCCTGCATGGATCCATCTGCACCCTGATCTGGTCTGCTACTCATCAGTCCAACAGCTATCACCGGACAGATCCCCAGGCCCTCTTGCCCCACTGAGCTCCTGCGACCGCTGTTCCACTCCCAGCGGTCCCCGAGCCGGGGTTGTACGAGAGGTCTGCCTCTTCACGTCAGGCTCACTACCCAGGTACGTGACAAAGGGGAAGGTGATCGTTCTGGTGGTGATCCCAGATTGGGTGAAGGGGCCTTGGTACCCTCTGCCCTTCCTAATGAGTGCCAAGGATCCACTCCCTCTGCCGGTAAGATCGGATTCTCCGAAGTCACATTCATCCAACACCAGACAGGCTCAAGCTCATGGCTTGGGTCTTGAGAGGCAGAGGCTAATAGATCTCGGGGGCTCTGTAAAGGTTGTGAATACTCTTCTGAAAACAAAGAACAAAAGCACTAACAGTGCTCTAGAGTAGAATGACAAATTCACAGGATTGCTGCTCATCAAGGTTTTACACTGGGCTCTCGACAAGTCTGTCACATTCTGAAGTTTCTGTAGGAGGGGCTTTATTTACGTTTATGCGCAAGTACGATATGGCACCACATTTCAGCTATCTCTGCCTTCACCAGTATACAGTGGGCATCCAACACTCAATTATGTCCTTCAAGCTGCAACTTGGTTGAAACCTACCTAAGGGATTGTTTGTAAAGTGGGATCTCCCACTGGTGTTGCACATGCTTGCATCAGATGCCTTCCATCAATGTGGCCCCTTTTGATACCTCTCTCTGGAATCTGTTTTCCTGGTGGCAATTACATCAACCAAAATTAGCGACCCTGGGGTTTAAAGAACCCTGTCTTACGTTCATCCTGGATAGGGTGGTACTCATGCTCAAGATCAAGCCTAAGTGGCATTCATAGTCCATATCACATGGATAGTTGTCCTTCCTACAGCCCTCTGGGGGGCACCCAAGAAGTTACCCCATCAGATGTGGGTCAAGCTTTAAAATCTAACATCAAGGCGATATCTGACATTAGAAGGTCAGAGCATTTGTTGGTCATCCCAGGTGGAGTGTTTAATGATTTTATGGCTTCCAACAAGATTATTGCCTCCTGGTTGGTTAAACTCATCTCCTTGGCCTACAAGTTGAAAGGGTTGGCTGTGCTGGGGGGTATTCCCTTCAGTCCACCCAAAGGGTCTCAACTTTGTGAGCGGCAGCATGTTGAGTGTGCCCAGACACTATCTGCAAGACAGCTACGTGGGAGTCAATATATACATTCACGGCTCATTACTGTCTAGAAGCTTCTGCTTTTAGCAAGAATTGAGGAGTGTGTAGCATTATCCCTCCCCTGTGTGGCTAGTTAGTTCCCACCTTTGCTGACATGGAGTTGTCAGGAAAACGGGAAATTAAATGACAGATACTTACCGTCATTTTCCTTTCCTGAGGGGCTCTATGTCAGCACAACTCCCACCCAGCTTGGTAGGACTAGTTACAGAACATGGAGGCTACAGGTTGGTGCAAATTTATGAGTTAGGCCCTGGAAGTATGGAGGGGGAGCCCTTACCCAGCTGTGCTGACATGGAGCAAGTCAGGAAAGAAAAATGATGGTAAATATCGGTCATTCACTTTCCTGTTTTCTTTAACCATTCAATCCACTTGCACTCACGTTCCACCCACTGCCATATAGCCACTTTGGCACGGTCATGCTAATCACAGGAATATCAAAGAGAAACTAAAAAGACCACAGATTCCTGTAAGAGGTATTTTATTGGTCCTCAAGTTACTCTGCAGCTGTGAATCGATCCACATTTCGTCATTGATATTAAACTGGTTTGTTACCTGCTGTATTTTCAATCCCGTGAACAATCGTTTCCTTAACCTGTTCAGGAAACACAAGAAAACAGTCACTCTGGTATTCTGTGTATAATACATAACAGTAAAATATCAAGAACGTATTTAGCACCTAGTTTACACCATTGCAGTGCTTCCATGTGCGGTAAAAAAAAGAAGAACAGCATGCTGCATTTTTCTGCACTGAAATGCACATGACTTCGTGTAAACTCAAATTATTAAAACAAAAAAGAAAAATCCAAAAAAAATACTGAAAAACACCTGCAGATGCATTGAAACTGCATTCAAACATACATGCAGAAATGCAGACTGAATGGAGGGATTGTGATTTAAAAACGGGCTCTCAACATGAAAGTGGTTGGAAGCTGCTTCTTATGAGGGCACTTGGGCTGGCTCACTCCCAAACTGTACTGTCTGTGTTCATTGACACAGTCGGATTTACCCCACAGCTCCCTCATCACTGGCTTTGATTGACAGCAGCAGGAGCCAATGGCTCCCAGTACCTCAGCAAAGCCTATGAGACCTGGAATTGAGAAGAGATGCAGATATGCACAGTGCTAGATTAAATGAGGGTTCAGGTAAATAAGGGGGAGGGGGATACTAATGCCTAAACATTTTTTTTACCTTAAAGCAAGGAATACATTAAGGTAAAAAATTGTTAGGCTTTATAACCACTTTAAATATGTGATGAGGTTGGAACGACATGTAGAAGTAACTTTAGATCTTCTGAAATATAGGAAGCTGCTATTACTAGTGCCAAGTTGTACATCTTAAAGCAATCCTGTTTTTAAAAAACAAACAAACAATCTCCAAAAGATCTACCATACGAAGAAGCCATGCTGTAGAATACTCACCTCTCCTGCTGCCCATACCACTGATGTGAACAGATTTAAGCCTCATTCACAAGGGCGATTATTTGTGTGTCCTGCGCAGGGCCCTGTTTTGCCAGCATGGGGGAGCGGAAAGCACAGATGTTGCGTGCATCCCTGTCCTCGCAGGCCCATAGATGTCTAATGGGACATGCGGCTGCATGGACACATCTGCTGTGTACCAATCTGACATGCATGTGGGTGCGTGGCCTCGAATGCACCCAGAGCGAGTTCAGGGACACACACCAGCTCAGATATCACGTTGGAACACCACAGCTGTGTCTATGCAGCCAAGTGTCCCAACAGACATCTATGAGTCTGCCTGAAAAACACCCTGCATGGGACACACAAGTAATCTCCCGTGTGAATGAGGACTAACTGTGCTGCAGACCTCTAGCTGCAATAGCAGCTCTCATATTTTCCCAAGACAGGTTTCCTAATATAAACCTGTGATCTTCCCAAACCACATCCTTTCCAGAGATTTTCTTCAAAACTAAAAAGGTGCCCCTGAAGGGGACCTGTGCAATCCAGGTCGTCAAAATGTCACTTAAATCATTACACACACACATAATTGTCTTCATTCTTCGAGCTATGCTGCTATCATGGACTGGGACCTGCAGTAAGTACAAATTAATGCCAGCTTGAGAGATAAAAGTTCAATAAGAGTTTTACCTTCAGCTTTCCAGTCTTTCACCCATTCACTGAGCTGTACAATGGCCGATTCCTCTTGGTCTAAATAGTTTAGGACAAGAAATCTTTCTCTACATTAAACAAAAGCAAACAGGTTTATTACTATTCTGTAAACTTGGATAAAACCGACATAAAGATAATAATAGATGGATGTTCTATTTAATGTATATATAAACCCAATCATTAAGAGCTCATAGATGCTTTAATGTGTTAAAACAGACCTTCACCCTAAAGTATATGTCATGTTCCCATGCCCCCCTTCTCTTATTTTTTTTTTTTTGCTGCCATTTATTTGTGCAGCTTCTTCACAATTATCACTACACAAGAATTACATTTACTGTACCCCCTTCCCCGTCTTTGCACATGCTCAGGAAATAACATGCGCAGATGTGCCAAAGGACTCCGCCAGGACCCAAAGGCAAGGCAAAGCCCTTTGGTTCATCTCTGCACGCACCATAATGGCAGCACCAGGGAGAAAAAAGTTCAAGCCACTACAGAGAGGATTGAAATTCCTCTTTAATGAAATCTCAAAAGTCATTTTTAAACCCAACTCCAAGAAAACTAAAAGTTTGCACCCACACTGCAAGGGTTAACTGCTCATTTCTGGCTAGAGGACAGGAAAAGCACTTTTATTTATCGGATCCCTGCTCCCCCAGAGGACGCTAGTCCCCTATGTTCTGGCAGTGGCCTGTCCCTCGGTATCTTCTCATTTAATGCAGGGCTATTGGCCTTGCATGGATCTTGATGTCAGAGGACCTTAAGTGCCAGAGTTCAGGGGAGAAGAGGCCGGGGGCTTGAAATCTACAGCTTTGATAAAAAATACCTGGTGAGCTTGCTATGAAAAGTTTTGTTTAGGCAGATCCCATTTTAGGGTGACAACACTTTAGGTGGAGACTAGCATGGACCATTTCAGCACACATTACTCAGGCATTGCCCAAGTTTGTTGCCATCAGCCCTAAGAAAAGTATATTTATTTTTACAGGCACTTATTTGCCATGCAGTCGTCAACTGGCTAGAGAAAGCTGCAGGAGATCTGCAACACTGAAATGCGACAAAGGCTAGAATAAAGATATATACCAATTCACAGTGCTGCATTTTGAGTGTAAAACACACTGAATTCATTTGCATGGAAAACATGAGCTCCTTACACATTCATTCAGGTTCACCAGCTGCATCATAGAGGTATCTATCAGTTTCTATGGAAATGTATCCATTGCATTACAGAAATGAAAAGTAGATTTAGTCAGTGTGGTCAACATGTGATAAATATTAGGCAGTGCCACAAAATATTAAACTGACTATCCCTAGCCAATCATAACTCAGTACACCAACCTTGTAATGTTGCGTTCCTTCAGGATGGAATCTGTTTGGGGATTAAGAGGAGGCGGATAGGGAACATCTTTGTTATACTGAGAGATCTGACCGCACAGAATAACATGGCTGCTTTTCTTCATCTACTTACAAGAAAGTACAATAAGATCAATATTTCATGCACTTTACCATCTTACTAAAAGAAAAAGACATTTTTATCGGAGTCACCAGGTTAAGAAATCCATAGTCTATGAATTTAATTAAAGGAATTGTGCACTGAGGGAAATAGTAAGCTGCCATTACCTACATCTTGTTCAAAAAATGCTAGTTCCTGGATGTCACAGATCATCAAGGGCTTCAAAAATATAAAAGTCAGTTACCTGTACCAAGTACACAGATGCATAATTCTGACTTCAACTGCTGCACGCTTGTTCCAGGTCAATGACTCCCAAGTATTGTATGATACAGCCAAGCAACTAACATTTCCAGAAGGAGGTCATTATCGGTGTGGTTATTTAGGCAATTTGTCTGAAAAGAATTTTGCCTGACTTCCACATCCTCTTACAAGATTCAAAAGGTTCATAAAAAATATAAACATTTTCTACCCAGGCATGCACAGTTATGAGAGGACACTCTAATCTGTAGGTAAAACAGTGCTATCACTGGCCAAGGAAGAGTTAAGATTTGTTGTTTCAGTCCAATGGGGAGATCCTTAAATCACTTCCTGTCCCTGTGACACCTGTACAAGCAATCAGGTGGGGGTTGCATTTGTGATTGGGAAGCCAGACAGCAATAAAAAGATTTTCAAGAATTACATCACTATTCTGAGCTCAAGTCTGAACAGTGTTTATAAACACTGATCAGCAGGTCCATTTTTGACACTAGTGGCTAGTGCGGATTGCTGCACTTAGGGGTGAAGGACTCTGCGTATTTAGTATGCTATGTGTACTTTACTGAATTTTTTGGGCATATGTTATATGCCACAAAGGCTTGCAACAGTGGTTAAGCACTGCCCACTTGCATGTGTATCTTATTCTGGATTATCCATTGACCTGGAAAGGTTTTACATAAAGCCAGGAATATACTTTGTGATAACATGAAAGCGGCCAGGTCTGTCCTCTTTACTGTGTTTCAGGGATAAGTAAAACCAATATCACTATAAACGTTAAAAGTGCAGTTGTTGTTAAGTATATTGTCACAGCCATGAGTTCGTATAAAATATACACCCCTATAAAAAAAACAATTGTTTACCTGACTGATAACAATGTCGCTGATCTCTCCTCCGACATTGTCAAAGTAGATATCCACACCATCAGGACAGCAGACCCTTAACCTTTCTCCAAGTCCTGGTTCCTTATAGTTCAACGCCTCATCAAAACCCAACTCTGAGGTCAAAACGGCACACTTTTCATTTGTTCCACAGATCCCTACAATATGGGAGCAGCCGAGGAGGTGGCCAATCTAGGATCAAGTATCGATTGTTAGAGATGGAAATGGTGGCAGGAAAACTGTCACAGTGACAATTGGAGGGACTAATATACACAGCTGAGAACTGCCCTATATACAATGACAGAGCAGCATACGCAGTCCTGAAATCCTGGAAGCATGCCCTGATCACATGCTTTTGGCCTCATGCACATGGTCATAAAAAGCGCTTTTACAGACATAAAGCATATTTGTAACTTATGCCTTTAAATGCAGTACTACTTAAAACCAGCCATAGATGGTTTGAATCTCAGCCAGTCCCTGCTGAACCATGTATGGGCAGGCTGATTGTACTGAAATTGATTGTTGTACAACCAGTATGTCAGATTTTACAGGTGATTATTGCTGGGGGTTAATATAACCGCTAGCAGTAATCACTGTGATTTCCCGGTGAGGACAGCTATCCCCCTCCTGCTGGAGATCACAACAGCTTCATGAGAGGCATTCCTCCATCAACACTGACTGTGTTGATGAGGGAATCAAGCAATTTTCTTTCCTGTAACCCATGGTTGCAGGAAAGAAAATTGCATCATGTATGGTGTGCCATAGCCTATATTGCCATGCATCTTAAGCATTTAGACCCGTATTTTACAGGCAGTGTTTACAGGCATAAAAATTTCCCCAAAGCTGCATTACAAGAAGAGCTTGTGAGCATAATTTACACATGTATATGTAAAATTATTCCAGTGGAAAGAATAAATGAATATTCTGGCCAGTAGAATGAGTTTACACTCAATGACATATTCTATAAGTGCGCACAAAAAAAAAGCGTAATTACACCAAAACAAGCATTTTTTTACACTTGATTTTTCTAGCATGTCTGGGTAGAAAGGCCCAGCTTAGATAGGAGTGTTTAAAAATGCCTGTGTACATGAGACATCACACAGACATGATGAGCATGGAAACACAATCAGTACCGAGTCCAGTATGACAATGTCACTGCTGCTTGTCATCCATGCATATTAGAAATACAGTATGTGCAGAACTTACACATATATAGGATATTAAACCTCCTAGCATCACCTGATTACTAACAATAGCCAGATTAGAGTTCTTTGAAGTCTCTATAGAACACTACAGAATGTGATCTGTGAAATGTTCAGGGTTCTTTTTATATCACATTATAGCTATATAACAGCTTTATCAAAGGACCAAAGTAAGGGAAGTGTTGGAATTTAAAATTCTCAATTACAATTCAGAGCATCAAAGAATTTCACACTGCCCAATGAAGTCGGTGGTTCTAAGGATGAAGGGGATTTTTTTATCTTAAAAGTGGCTTTAAAGGCAGAATGTTTTTTTTCACTTTCATGCATTCTATGCATGTAGGGAAAAAGACCTTCTGCAAGCAGCTTCCCCCCCCGAGCTCCCTATAAATACTTAAGTGAGCCCGATCTTGATCCAGCAATGTGCACCAGGCTCTTAGTTCTCTCCATCCTCATTGGCTCAGACAGCAGTGGGCCCACTGCTGTCAATCACAGCCAGTGAGGAGGGGGTGGGACCAGCTGCGTTCTGTGTGTCTTATAGATGCACAGAGCCAGCTCGGGAGCAAGCACACAGGTGTGCCAAGACAGGACGTGGCTTCCTTTGGTAGCACACCAAGAAGAAGAGGAGGAGCAAGAAGCCCTGCAGGGGATCTGAAAAGAGCAAGTAAGTATGACATGTATGTAATTTAAAAACAAATCTGCCTTTACAATCATTTTTATGCATTCTCTGCATTAAAGTAGAATTTTCTGTATTAAAGTAGAACTTTATGCTTTATAACAGAAATTGGCAGACTGGCAGGATTTTTAATGCAGAAGAGACACGCTTTGTCTCTTCGACATTAAAGCTACTTGCCTGCCTGTCCTCCTCTGTACAGGGTCTATGAACACACAGAGCTGGCTCGGGAGCGAGCCTGCACATGTGCCCCCATAACAAGCGACTTGCTATGATATGCACTTGTGGGGAAGGGAGAAGCCAGAAGCGCCAAATACAGACCCCAGAAGAGGAGGATTGGAGTTGCTCTGTGCAAAAATCATTGCACAGAGCAGGTCAGTATAACATGTTTGTTAACTGAAAAAAAAAAAAAAAAAAGGGGTTCACTATGACTTTAAAAATACAGTGACTTACCTGACCAGCTAGGGAACCACAGGCTCCAGCAGCACCACTCACCACCACCGTCTGATTAGTTTCAGGGATCACATGACCCTTCTCCTTCACACCGAGGAAAGCCGTCAATCCGGTCATTCCAACTGCACCCAACAAATGTGACAAGTGGCCATCCACAAGATTAGGGTCCACCTATATAAAAAATAAAGAGTTAACGCTTCTGTCACACTGATCTGTAGTCATGTTCACTATAGTTTTGTTTCTTCTAATATTTGAATACATCAAGATTAATGGTTTTCGCTTCTGCTGGACCCTTGATGTAACAACACTAGCAAATGTGAGCTCACTACTTGAATGGGAAATTGTATTATTGTTCCCTTCATAGCATACAGTCTATAAGCAGAGTTTCATTTTAAAAGCAATGACATATTGTAAATCAGTTAATTACTTGAGTCCCAGATGCCATTTTAAAATAATGTTGGGGTTTTGTCCAAGCACTTATTTTACAGAGTAGCTCCAGTTTTGTTTTGAGAAAAAAATCCTCCAAGTAAACTACCTTCAGTGCAAAGATTTTAGTGACTTTTTCAGATTTCTCTGTTTTGAACAAATTATTCCCCCTCCCACTGCTTTCCATATGGTAGGGTCAATATTCATCATGACTATCAGGTGCAGTCTCAGAATTCTAAATGAAAAAAGCTGAAACACTGGCATCAGCCTCTCTAGAAGTCTTGGAAAGTATCCCATGAAAAATGAAACTCCTATTGCAGGGGATGCCTGAAATTTGATTGGTGTCCATGCAGACGTCCGAGAAAAGCAGCAAAACAATAAAAACAAGCAAAAAAAACAAAAAAAAAATTTAAAAAGAATCAGAATTCTAAAAGCATTAGGTGAAACAAGATTGGAAATCATAGAGAGATATTTACTAAAACTGGTGCACACAGAAACTGGTAGAGCTCTGCATGGTAACCGATCAGCTTCTAGGTTTTATTGTCAAAGCTTAACTGCTGCCCTCAGCCAGAAAGTTGTCAATGGGAACGTTTACCTTCCAGCATGACAATGACCCAAAGCACACAGCAAAAATGTCCACAGAGCGGTTGAAGGGAAAATGGTAAATGTCCTTGCATGGCCTAGTCAGAGCCCAGACTTAAACCCCATTGAAAATCTGTGGAATGACTTGAAGACTGCAGTCAAAAAATGGTCACCATCAAATTTAAAGGATAAGTTCACCTTTACGAACATGTAACATGTTCCCAGTGCTGCAGGCAGCCCCCCCCTCCGTGACAGACATACGGGGAGAAGTTCCCCGTACTAGCTGTCCCTTTTTAAAAATAGCTCCGCCCCACATGGCCGCATCATTCATTCAGTGTTCTGTGAATGAATGAAATTCAGTTGGTTTGTAGTTCTCAATGAACTACTACGGCGCTATGGTCTTCCCGTCAGTATATCTGCTTGCCCATACATCCCATACAGGCAAGCAGATATATTGACAGGTCTGTAGGAGACCTGCATGGCACCAGAAAAAAATGGCCTTATTTATTATTTTCGGTCAAAAGGTGAACTTATCCTTTACCCGAACTTGAGCAGTTCTGCAAGGTAGAGTTGTCAAATATTGCAAAGTCTAGATGTGCAAAGTTAGTAGAGACATATCCCAACAGACTAAAGGCTGGAATTAAAGCAAAAGGTGGCTCAACAAAAAACTGACACAAGGGGGTGATCCTTTTTCCAACTCAGTGATTCTGTTTTTAAATTTTTTAATTTTTCTGACATGTTGGTGATATATCTTTCACTTGGATGTTATAAGTTGCACTGAGAAAATACAACTGGATAAAACAAAACTGTGTCTGTCTTCATTTCAGGCTGCAAAGCAAAAAAGTGTGATTATTTTCTATACCTACGTGATCTATGAAAAACCCTTAGAATAGTTACACACAGGCCAAGATTGGTTAGAAAAGACGAAACTGACACTAATCTCCAAATTCCTTTTTCCTTTTGCTCCTGTGATCTGACTTCCTGTTAGAGGGAGACTACGTTCATTCTTCAGGTTCCCAATGTATGTAGGACCATACTCACCCTCTCTTGCTCGCTCCTGAGATGGACTAGAGACAGTGGGATACAAATACTAGATTTATAGCGTGAACACCACTAATATGCACTGCTTGTTCCAAACAGATGAAAGTGAGAGGGAATAACACAGGTTCAGGAGCTCACAGAGGACGCTACAAGGAGGCAGAAAACACAGTAAGAGACAATTTACTGAAAAATAGATTACAGGGACATTAAGCAGTGGGTGTGTATGGATTATTTTTGGAGAGTAAGGGCATTATTTAATGTCACTTCAATGTTAAAGTGGAATCCTATCCATATTATCATTTTTTGGAAGGGTTTAAAGAGGTTTTTAATCACACTCTGTGTCCCAGTTCGAAAAACTCTCTCTCTCGCAGTCCCAGTAATCAGAAATCTCTGCAACAAGGACCAGACAATTAAAAACATGGCAGTGATTTTTAACATTTCCAACAACAAAAAAGTGTTTGTATTTCTGCCTGTGTCCTCAGACGAAAGGTATTTCCCTACCCCTTTTCACGGACCAGAAACAAAGTAAAAACTATTATTTAAAAAATGTGCCATAATAAATCTAATAAAAAAAAAATGTAAGTAATTAAGGTTTATCAAATTGTATTACTTTTTTCAATGTGCTGCCATCCAAGATGCACTTTGTCTGCCAAGGCCAGTTAAAACTTGTGACAATGTCCCCAACTTTGAGGTGGCCGTTTTTGCTTAGTTCAATCACTCCAATCCCACCGCTGTCAAGGACTTCAGAGACCTTCCATGGCTGTATGTAATCTGTCCCTGTATCCTCATTCATGCGACATCGCTGAGAAATAACAAAAAAATAAAATGGTAGAACAAAAAAATATGCACACTAGTACAATAAAGGATTTCAACTGCATTTTCTGTCATGTGACAGTATAGCTGTATATTGGAATAAAAGCAAGGTGCAGCGCTAAAATGATCCGTTAAAACATATGGACATGTTATATTCAAACATCCTCATATAAAATGCAATAAAATATAAACCAATACCAAGGTGCAAATAAAAACGTCACCTAATGGTGACTAATAGGTGTTTGGGCACTAAACCAAATACAGTCTATAGCGTGAGTAGAAAAGATCCCAGACGATCTTCAAAAATCCAATGGCTAGATCCATGGGTGAGGTGATAGATGTATAAAGATTGCGCACTCACCAGATACGCAATCACAATGCGCATTTAGAGTAGATCACCTCAAGACATCAAGGATCCTTATGCAGGTCTGGTCAGATCTGGCCAAATGCCCCTCACTGCTTGGTAGTGCTGCCACATTTGGAAATAGCCACTCTGCAGATGTAAATGGATCCCACCGGAGCTATATCATTTAACAGATGTTCCTGTGCCCACTGTGCGCAACATTGTCAAGACGTTTACAGCCAAAGGCACTGTAGCTAATCTCCCTGTACGAGGTATCAGCAGACAGATACACTGACAAGTCTGCAGGAGTCCTGCATGGCACACATGATCTCCAATGCTTTCCAGGCTTCAGTGCTCTGTACTGTCATAGGCCTTTGCTTCAGAACCACTTGTGTCGTCATACACATGTCATAAGGCTACTAATAAAGAATATAGTACCTAAGCGCAACCAATTAAATAGAACTAGAACCCTAATAATGGATCCTATTCTAAACAACCCTGGGATAAGGAATAAAGAAATAAATGAACAGGAGTAGCCGCTCACACCAAACACGTATCCCCAGATGTGCAATCGTTAGGTATAGATAAAATTATGTAGAGCTTACTCTAATAACTTAATTTAGAAAAATGGAATATAGATATGATATGTATGTGAGACAATCTCCTCAAAACCATAATTTTGGTTTTGAGGAGATAGTATTCACATATATATTATTTCTTTATTCCATTTTTTCCATTTATTTCAGTTAATTTGTTCTTAAAGTAAGCACTACACCATTTTTGATTTATATCTAAGGCTGCTAGCCTCACAAAATTTAGAGTGAGACTTTGTGATAGTACTTCTGTACTGCTTACTGTTTTCTTGCTGGAGAGGAAGTTGTACCATAAGACCTGCAGTGCAAATATAGCCATGCCTTTGGGTCAATCATTCTGTGGATTTCTGCATCTATTCTGCCCCTTCTTGATTATTCCTTCATCAGTCCTTCAGTTTTCAGAGAGCAGTTCTGACATGAGAAGGCAAAGCCCTAACAATACTGTGCTTGCTGCTTTCACACAGGGACTCAGGTTAGTAACAGGGAAATGACTAGCTGTAGGAAGGTCGCCAGTTAATTTTCTTACAATATATTAAACATGGACTTATGGTGACCTTGCAAAAGACTGTTTTTTATCTTTTCCTAGAGAGACACAGAATGAAGAAAAGACAAAACAGCTACACACCAGTGATGACACCAATCTATAAATTCCTAACAGGCACATTAGAGTGGACGGTCCTTGGACTAGGACCTGTTGCTTGGGCTTCATGCAATAAACTAAGTGATTGGCAATAGCATAGGGGTGTGGCTATTTGTCTCTGCCGTGGATTTTTGGAGCAAGGACAGCTCCTTCTCAGCCCCACACCCGATTCTTAGGACACAGCGAGGAGCACAGCTTGGGAGCTGAGGTCTGATGAAGAACCGGAAGCTTCGAAACGCGTTACTGCCCACATCCACGGCATCACATCTCCATGCTGACGTCACTTCCAGCACGACGCCATCTTGCATTCCATTCTGGTCACCGCAGCGGCCAGCCGCTTTCTGGAGTCCATCACTCACCGCCAGAGTGCATTGTGGCTATCATACTGGCTGACTTTGCTGAGGAGGGATCTGTGGATGTACTGACATGACTTACGTCTCCATGCATTTGTGAGTTGCTAATTGAAAGATTTAATAAACCCAAGTCTTTTATACTGCACTTAGTCTGGCGCCCCTCTGTTTCCCTTTCTTCTCATTACAGAGTCTCAGCTTCACTGCTATCGATGCTGCAATTATCATTCATTGGACCTTTTAAGAACTGTTTTTAATTATCGAAATACTTCCCAGCGCCAATTCCGTCTGTTTGTACTTTAAAGCTAAAAAGTTGGTTTCAAATTCTGTTGTGGATACAGGGGATGGGGAGCAGTTCTTATGCTTCACAGCTACAGTCACTGATCTCTCTCTCACCCACCCACCTTCTCCCGGCAGCGCCAGATGATCAGTGCTGTGGAAGGTATCTGGCATCAGTGGAAAGAAGATTTCTACAGTAAGTAGCAAAACATGGGACACACCTCATCAGAGTAAAAGTCGTGTTTATGGTGCTGTATCAATAAAATGTTTTACTAAACTTCAGTTTTAAAGCGGTTGCAAAGGTAGAAGTTTTTTTTTTTTTTAACCTTAAAACTACTTCCCCTCCATCCTATAGTAGAAATACTGGTACAGGGCGGCAGGGGTACGCAAAATCACGTATGTGTATATACACGTGATTTTGCAGTTCAGTGTAGGGGCCACCATTTGCGGCCTCAGCTGTCAATCACCAGGTCCCGGCCGGTGATTACTCGCCAGCACCCGGTGATCGTTGAGTATATCCGACAGGGGAGAGACCTGTATGTAAACAATACAGATCACTCCCCTGTCAGCTCCTGCACACTGCTTTGTATGGCTCTGCATAGCATAGCAGAGCCATACAAAGCAGTGTGCTTACAGTGAAATACACACACAGTCCCCATAGTACAACAGCACACAGTTACCCCTTTGATCGCCCCACATTAACCCCTTCCTGCTCAGTGCCATTAGTACAGTGTCAGTACTTTTTATTAGCACTGATCACTGTATTGGTGTCACTGGGGATGTAAGTGACACCAAATCAGTTCCGCCCAGTGTCAGAATGCCCGCCGCAGTCCTGCTATAAGTCACTGATCGCCCCAAAAAAAAAATTCCATTATCTATACCGCCATTTGTAAACGATACAACTTTCACGTAAACCAATTCATTTACACGTATTGGGATTTGTTTTTTAGCAAAGACATGGAGCAGAATACATTTTGGCCTAAATTTATGACGAAATTTGATTTTTTTAATTGGACATGTTTAATAGCAAAAAGTATGTTTTTTTCTAAATTTTTGTTTTTTTTGTTTATAGCGCAAAAAAAAACAAAAAACGCAGAGACGATCAAATGCCACCGAAAGAAAGATCTATTTGTGGGGTAAAAACGAACTTAAGTTTCATTTGGGTGTAGCACTGCATGACCACGCAATTGTCAGTTAAAGTAACACAGCGCCATATTGCAAAAAAAATGGCCTGGTCAGGAAGGGGAGTAAATCCACTGGAGGGCAAATGGTTAACGTATGCTCTGCAAAAAAGGTTTACAAAAAACACTTAATAGTAACTCCCCTGCAGCCCCCCCACCAAATACTTACCTGAGCCGACCTTGAACAAGCACTGTGCATGTCTGTAGCAGCTCTCCTCTGCTCTCACGAGCTTGGCAGAAAGCAGCGGGGGCCATCAGCTCATGCTGCTCTCCGTCAAAACCTAAGAACACAGATCAGGAGGGGAGGGGTGAGGGGGGACAGTCAGGCTGTGTATCTGAATAGACACAAACAGCTCGGCTCAGGATCAAGCACGCATGAATGCCCCCTTAGGAAGCAGTTTCCTATAGTGGGCACTTGGCAGGATGGGGGGGGGCCCAGGAGAACCAGAGGGGGACCCCAAAAAAGGAGGATCTGGCCCACTCTGTGCAAAACTATTGCACAGAGCAGATAAGTGTAACATGTTTATTTTTTTTTTATTGAAAAAAAAAAAAAAAAATGAAGCTTTACAATCAGAAAACTACTTTAAACAAAAAATAAACAAGCTACAATCTTTACTGAATTTTATACAGCTGTCAAAAATAAAAATGTGCTCCTGAATTCTACATACGTTTGTTTACTCCCGATTTAACATATATAATCAGGGATAGTGGTTTGTATAAATGTGTATATAATTAGCTGCTCACCAGATAAGGATCCACAGAGATGTACAAGGTTTTGGCCAAGACTTGTCCATCTATAAGCTCTTCTGAGAGTTCACCTTCCTCCAAGCGGAAGTTCTCAGCCACCGGCTCTCCATGGTTTCCTGGGTAAAGGAGCATCATACAATCAGTGTATCAAAAACAGGCGCTGGCATGTTCTCTTTCACGGCAATCATGCCACTAAGCTGCTGGGTTCTATATATAGTGGACAATTCAGCATTTATTTTGACTCCCTCCTATGCGAGAGTGACATAATTAAATCCTGCCCATGCATAGAAATGGCTCAGGTCCCTGGCAGTAACATGACAGAGACCCCACAACATGTCTGCATATGTGTAAGATCTCACAAACTGCTTCCTGCAATTTGTGAAGTAGACATTCCAGAAGGAAGTTGGTGAGATCTTGTGCATGCGCAGACATATTACTGGCAGGGACCCAAGACATTTCTGTGCATGCGCAGGAGATACAACATAATACTAGGGTCATAGCCATAGATCTGGCAGAGCATGTTTTTCACGTACGCCAGCTGTCAGTTCAAGTTGGTGCCGGGGAAGAGCAGAGTAGGGAGAACCTTGCCTGCAAGCAAGACAACACTGGAGTCTGTATGCAGAAAAAAGTGTTAGGGATCTACGTTTTCATTTGTGATAGGTAGGGTAGAGGTACTCTTTTAAGTCATTTGTGCACTGTGTGTATGTTTGATTCCTCCTTGTTGGAACAGATATCTTGATATTTTGACCATTGTGATCATGAGTTCTGACCCACCCCCTCCAACACCCTGTGCCTTACTACTGATCAACGAGGGTGTCAATCATAGCAATGGGCCTATAGTGACATGTAGGAGGTGGAAGGAAGTGTACCAGACTCCTAAACTGTAGGAGCTGACTGAGATTTCAACAGAGAGCCCTGGGTTTCAGGGGGTGCCAAGGGGCTCAACAGAAAAGCTTGAACTAATGTTCAAGCAACCATTAGGTGCTTACTAAGGAATACAAGTGGCACTTTAGTAACTTTTTTCCAGCTAAACATTTGTTTTGTCGTATGTAAACCCCCACTAAATTCTCATAAGAGCTTTAACCTATTAATGTAATTTAAAAAAAAATACCTAATTTTCAATATATTGAAATTCTGCAGCATTGATTAAAATAATACTTGATCCTTGTTCAGCCACTTCTTATTATAGGCTGACACTGCTCCGTCCCTGCCTCCCAAATATTGTAACTGTGTTGTCACCCTGTAACAATTTTTAATGGAGACAAGTGGCTCCATCAGGACACATTACACACTTTCATAAAACCCATCCTGAAAAATGCCATGCAGCCATCGTTTAAGTGCGTCCAGGTAGGGCATGGATTCAAAAACGCTGCAGGTGATCAGCAGCACTGAGATACAATAAAATATATTTAAAAAATATGTAAAAATAGCAGTATACAATGCTTTGGCAGACTAATATCATTACGCTGGGGTTTACATCAAATTTTAAAGTGAATCCATCATAAAAACATGTCCAGGTCTTTATTTCTGAAGAAAGCATTAGTAGTGCACCGAAATGAAAATTCTGGTGCCAAAACTGAAAACGAAAATTCAATATGCACTTGGCCGAAAACCGAAATGGAAATCGAAATGCGCAGTTTTTAAAAATGAATATATATTTGGAAACAAATACACTGATTAGAAAACCAATATATACCCCAATTTTTTGTAAAATATGAAAGGAGGATGTTACGGTGAGTAAATAAGATACCCCAACATGTCACGCTTTATAATTGCGCACGCTCCTGGAATGGTGTGAAACTGCGGTACTTAAAAATCTCTATGGGTGATGTTTTAAACACTTCTACAGGTTAGCAGTGTAAAGTTACAGAGGAGGTCTAGTGTGAGAATTATTGCTCTTGCTCCTACGTTCATGGTGATACCTCACGTGTGTGGTTTGAACACTATTTACATATGTGGGCATGGCCTACATATGCGCTCACCACTATGCGCAAGCACGGGGGGACGGGGCACTTTAAAAATCTTAATGTTAATCACTTTTATTCTTATCACAATAAATGCATGCATCCCTTGTGATAGAAATAATTAGTGACAGGTCCTCTTTATGGAGAGATATGGGGTCAATAAGCCCCCACATCTCTCCTCTGCAATGTAAAGCATTGGATCAAAAAAAAAAAAAAAAAAAAACGGAACGGGAAGTGACATCGCTCCGATCCTCCAAGGGCACAGAGATGTGTGGCGGCCATCTTTCCTTCACTTGAAAGAGAAGTCGGGCTCCCACAACGCCTAGCACTGCACTTACTGTATGAATGAAATCTTGGAAAGGGAGGGTCTGAACATTCTGTATCACTTATGTATGACATGAAAGCTGCTTCCAGGAGCTTCATATCTTACCAAGCCTGCTAGGGTTGGCAAAGAGGGCGCACTTTAGTCATGAGACATAACAGTCTGCAAGGGGTAGGAGGTGTAATTTTTTGTTCACAATCCCCTCTCATTCTGGTACCTATGATTTTAAATGCCTGCAAACACAATACTGGCATCTCCATGAATTCATCTGTTTTCAGACATGGCTAAACTGATCCTGAACGCAGAATTTTGGTAAACGTAGCTAGATACAACTGCACGTCCAGGTACACAGGCCCAGGTACACAGCAGTCAGAACACAGCCTTCATGTTTCCAGCTTTACCAAGTAGCTCTACACACTTGTGGGCACCATCTTCCACTCCAGTGTGTATGAGGCCTTGGGATGACAGCTGGAGAAGAGGACGGTGTATTTCAAACAGCACTTTCTGAATGAAGCCACATATAACATTTATGTTGTGCACATTTCTTTATTTTCTCTGTTAAGAAAATTAAATTTATGCCTTGGATTCTACAGTAATGAAACAAGGACACTTACCCGGCCTTGATGCCAAGACAAATCTGTTTATCTTCATACTTGACTGGTAATGGAGTTTCTCTGTAGCAGCAGTGGCCTAAAATATGATAGAAAAAGAATCTTCCATTTTGCTTGAGGTGATTGTAGCCGTATTAGTGCATTTGCGACAGAAACAACTGAGTACTGTTTGGACCTTGAAGAAGGGGACATACCCCGAAAGCTTGTCCTCAAAATTGTATGTTAGTGCAAATAAAAAAAGTATCACAGACAGTACTCAATTGTTTCTATAGAAAAAGAAAAATGAGAAGAGAGGCGCCCTCTAAGGGCAGACATCGCTCCTTCATACACTGGCCATCTGTGTGCTGAGATGATCAGCGGAGAACATGTTCTCTACTGATCATCTCTGTTTCCTAAACCACTAATGATCGGAGATCAGCAACGATCCTCAGGATCGCCGCTCATCTCTGTTTCGTAAAAGGACACCTTTACCCACATAATTGTACGGTGCATCCACAAACTATTCACAGCGCTTAACTTTTGCCACATTTTGTTATATTACAGCCTTATTCCAAAATGGAAAGAAAGAGTCCCAGGCTGCTGGAGGTGAGAGAATCCAAAAGCTCCTTCGTCCGACCGGAAGTGCCTGTGACCAGCGTGAACCTTGGATTCACCATCACCTCAAGCAGCCTGGGACTCACTACGAGACTGTGAGATTCTCTACTCTCTTCAGCAGCCCGGTATCCTGTCACCATCTTAACATTACCGTGTGTTTAGACATGTCAAGCCTTTTTTTCTGCCAAAAAACTGCATCTCCTGGACACACTGGCAGTGGGGTTTGTCTTCTGCCTCTAAACTCCTGTAAATGCATATGTGTGCATGGACACATAAGCTAATATGGAGGGGTGTTTAGAGGCAGACAAAAAAAAAAAAAAAAAGTCAACCACCTGAAAAACAGTTTTTTTGAGCTCATGTGTGCATGAGAACGTAAACCTCAACAGTAATAAAACCTCTCCTTCAGGTCCCACAGTCAATCACTTTCCAAATCTTGCCACCTTGCCCTCCATAACATACCTGGTCACGTACCTGGTAAAGGACAAGATGACGAGAGGGCTTCCCTTACACCTCCAGTCCCGTTTCCCCTGGATCGGATGACAGGGTACAGCAGGCCAAGGAGTGGCACAGAAACCTGTGGGAGATACTGGCCATAAGACGTTCCAGGTAATGTGAAGATACTGTGGATGTAGAACTGGAGGTGATGAAGGAGGTTGTTGTAGGGACTTGCATGTGCAGGAGCATAGTCGAGCAAGCAGCAGTCGGCAACAAATGTATAGGTTAAAAAAAAAAAAAAACAGATGCTGGATCAAAAGCCAGGCCAAGGTCAGTATCAGATGGCCAGAACCGGTACCAAATCAGCAGAGAGAACACGGAGTCGAGTCATAAGCCAGGGTCAATAACAGGAAATAAGGACCAGGCAGAGATGGGGTAGACTGGGTCAAGGTGCAATGAAATAGCAGGACTGATCGCAGATCATAGAAGTTTACAATCACTCAGCAATTCTCCTAACTTCTGTTAAGACAAAAGGCTGGTGCCCAACATGTGTGCACATTAGTGAACACACATTAACGGACAAACAACCCAGATTCTGTGTGAACTGTGTTATGTGCACATTCATATTTTCAGGCATGGCTGCATAAAGTGGAAAAAATAATTATTTCATCCCCTGCAGATTTTGTCCATTTGTCCACTTACAAAGAAATGAAGGGTCTATAATTTTTATCATAGGTGTTTTTTACATGATAGAGACAGAATATCAACCAAAAATCCACAAAAAACACATGATACAAATGTTATAAATTGAGTTGAGTTCAGTGAGTAAAATAAGTATTTGATCCCCAAGCAAAATATGACTTAGTACTTGGTGGAGAAACCCTTGTTGGCAACCACAGAGGGAAGACATTTCTTGTGGTTGGTTACCAGGTTTGCAAACATTGGGAGGGATTTTGGTCCACAGATCTTCTCTAAATCCTTAAAGTTTCTTGGCTGTCATTTGGCAATTCAAAGTTACAGCTCCCTCTACACATTTTCTAATGGATTAAGTTCTGGAGACTGGCTAGGCCACTCCAGGACCTTAATGGGCTTCTTCTTGAGCCACTCCTTTGTTGCCTTGGCCGTGTGTTTTGGGTCATTGTCATGCTGGAAGACCCATCCACGAACCATCTTTAGTATTCTAGCTGAGGGAAGAAGGTTCTCATC